CAACGTCCTCCACAACTAGATTGAAGAACAAAACGACAGCAACTTGTCTGTTCCCCTTCCCCAATCCCCCAGCACTGTTCCCATCCCCCCAATTTCCCAATAAAAATCTTTAAAAAAATAAAAAAGAACAAAATTCTGTTTGGGAAAAGAGACCATAAACATAATGAAGGGGTAAACAACAAACTGGGAAAAACCAGGTTAAGTTATATAAGACAAATGATCAATATCCAGCATACATAAAGAATTGCTTTAAAAATCAGTACAGAAAAGACAAGTAACCCATTAGAAAAATACGTACAGGGTTTAGCAGGAAATTCATTGAAGAAATATAGTGGGCTAATAAACATGGAAAAACAGAACAAAATACGAATTTCCATTCATTGGGTTGGCCAAAAAAATTACAAGACTAACAATACAGGATTTTAGTGCTAGTATACAAGTTTGTAACAGCCTTTTTGGAGAGCAAATTGTTATTATGTATCAAAAATTTAAATGTGCATGCCATGTGAGGCAACAATTTCATATCTATATAAGAAATTACAAAAAAATCCACACATGTAGAGAAAAAAGTACCAAGAAAGAGATGAACTGCAGCCTTAAAAGCAAAAAAAGAGATTTCCATATGTCCATCGTTGAAGAATGGTTAAATAAAATATGGTATATCCATCCTGTGGAGTAGTGTACAGAAGTTTAAAAGTGGTAGAATGGGAGATAGATCTACGTGTGCTATCACAGGAAAAAACCCTCTCAGAATGTTAAGTGCAAAATGTAAACTGTAGGCCAGTACATATGGTATAATTCCAGTTATGTAAAAAGCAAAAAGCATGTTTATGTATGTAAGTGTGTAAGAAAAAGGTCTGGAAATAATAACAGCAGATATCCCTGGGGAAGGAAGTTGGAGTGAGAGTAGGTGGAGGAGCGAAGAATTTTTTTTCATTCTACTCTGGTATTTTGTTTGAATTTTTCTTATACAAAATCAGTTGCATACTTTTAAAACATATTTTTTGCATTTACATACTTTAAGTTATTTTTCTGTTTGTTTTTTTTTAATGAGAGGGATGGGCCAAATCAGTGACTTCCAGACTCTTTCTTTCTAACAAACGCTAATGTGGAATCCACACGGAGAATAATAGCTAACATATGTTGAACATCCACTGTGTGTTCCATAGTGTGCTGGTGCATTTGCTTAAAGTCAATCTACTTCGCTTCATCAGCTGGAAAAGATGGGTGCTGTATTCATTTGCAACTTACCTGAGGCTGTGCAGCTTATATGTAAATAGAGAAAAACTGAGCTGCTGTGATTGAAGCAGGGGAGTAAGGGCAGAGATTGGGCCTGGAGTCCCATTCACTTCTTTTTTTTTCCCTAGCTGAGCCATCCTGCCACCTGTTGGCAGCTCAGCAGCAGCTCAGGGGCAGCTCAGCTCGGGCCGGGAATCAAACTGGTGACCCTGTTGCTCAGAGCTCACACTCTTGAGCGAGCTCTTAACCAGCTGAGCCATTCGGTCGGCCCCCATTCACTTCTTTACCCTTCACCTCTTCTACCTTCTCTAGCCCCCACCCTTCTTCCAGTCCTAAAATCTTGGCACTTCAGTGTAACCCCCTCTTTGCCCCCCAGGGCCTGTCTCAGAGTAGGTGCCTCAGGAGCTGGTCCCTCACCACTGGGCTAACAAGTGGTGGCAGCAGTGCTCGGTTCTTTTGGGGTTTTTTTGGTTTTTTTTTTTTAAAGATTTTTATTGGGGAATTGGGGGAATGGGAACAGCGCTGGGGAATTGGGGAAGGGGGACAAACAAGTTGCTGTCCTTTTGTTCTTCAGTCTAGTTGTGGAGGACGTTGCTTCACTGGCCCAAGTTGGCACCATCATTGCGCTCTTCCTGGACGGCCGCTCACTGCGGCTGCTGGCCACTCACGCTGGCTGCTGGCTACATATGGTAGCCCATGGCAACCCACTGCCACAGGGGCTTCAGCCTATTCCATCGCCGGTGACCCACAGCAGCCCAGCTCCAGGTTGAGCTGTTGTTCAGCATCTTAGCTGTGGAGGGCAGTGTCACTGGCCCTCATATGTGGGATCCGAACCGGGGCCTTCTGGCGTCCCAAGCCAGTTCTTAACCATCGTGCCACTGGCTGGCCCAGCGCTCGGTTTTAAGGCACGACCACAAGGCCCTACCTATTCAGTGCCACTCATGACTTTATCAAAATAAAATGCAGCTGAACCACAAAGCACTCTTTCTGTACTTAATAAATATATATATAATACACACTTTCCTCTGCTTGCTAATTCATGTTCAGAATTGATTTCTTTTTAGTAACACGGGAAAAATAGGCCACAAAACTAATGAAAATGCAAGTCACAGAAGGAAATAGGTGACAACAATGCCACTGAAAGAAGCATGTGTCTCTCCTGAGAAGTGTTTGATTAACGTCAGCACCCACCTGATTTCCTCATGCTGGCTCTCCCCTCTGCCCTGCCCCAAGCCATGCTTTTGGCCTGGTTTCAAGCACAGACTCCCATGGCTCTCAGTTCAGCCTTACAGAGATCTGCCTGGGGACAAAGAAGTTTAAGCATTGAGCACTGGCCCCACTTGGGAGTGCTTCCCTGAGTGCCCATGACTTCCAGCTGGGCATGGTTGGTAGACCATAAAGACAGGCTCTGTGAGCCAGTGATTCAGCTAACTGTATGGGAAATAGGTCCCAATGAAGGATGCTTGAATAGCGTTAGTGGCAAACACCTGTTCTGATCCAGTCTTCCCCTCCTTTGGCTGGACCCTACTTCCTGGTGATTTTGGTTTCACATTTAGGAAGTTCTAGGGATACAGGGGAACAAATGGTCCTGCTGTACCTGATGACCAGGATAGCCTATAAACTTGGGGCTGTCCCAGAACACATCAGGTCTCTCTGGTGCTAGGAAATGCCCCAAAGGTCAAAAGAGCCAGAGTAACGTGGTCAGGAAATGCCCCTCTAGACAAGGTGAGGCTGCTGAACAGGGCAGCTGTGTAGAGACCATGAAACCCTGGCAGAAGCTGTACGTAAGTGTGCGAAGAACAGTGCTTTTTTGTAGAAAACAGGTATAGGGATGTGAAAGTAACAGGTGGCCGGCTGTTAACCTGCTTCTGTCTTAGGGAGGACGGGGCTGGAGGTGCTGTGTCTCAGGGCATCATGGCCTCGCTCCACAGCCACTTGCTCTGCCAGGACCCGGCTCCTGGACTGCAGCCTTCCACCTCCCGGCAGATGCTGTGCCCCGTGGTGTTGGTCATGGTCACCTAGCAACACTTGAACCTTTTTCACCAATCCCTTCCTTTTTGAAATTTTCTGCCATAACTGATTTACGAATATCTCCTCCAATTTTTCAGTTGTTGCTTCTTCTCCTATCAAGTTTGCACAGCGTTTCAGGTTACAAATCCTTGGCCAGAAAAATCCTCCTGAATCATGAGCTCTTTATTCAGCTCCCATTGGTTAGCTGTCTTCTCCACAGATTTCTTAAAAATCATTTAACTTCTTTAAGTCAGACTCTTCCCCTGGACCATTTTCTGTTCCAATTAT